CTCATGTTCTGGAGCTGCTATTACAATATGCTCTGTTTCTGGAAGGCCAGAGATGGTAAAAAAATCCACTCAGGCTTCATCGTATCGTCATTTTGTGATGGGGAAGTGAAAGTAATCAGCAAAAAGACAAGTTTTGTTGTGTCCAAACCAAGAGGGTGATGTAAGAAAAATGCTTGGCTGACGCTTGTGGAGCTATTTGAGTTTCTAAAAGCATCTTCTGGCAGAAATTTTGAAAACAGGATGTATTTGGCACTAGCAGAGTGTCAGGCACCGTTGCTTAGTCTAGCTAGCTAAAAAGCCACCGTTCCTGAGCAGTGTTTTTGGCGGTGCTTTTACAATATAGATTTTGCTACATGAAGTTCCATTGAAATAATAACTGACAGTTCAGTACATTTTAAAATATTTTTTGTGTAGCTGTGTAGTGTGATGACACTTCTACATGGCTACAAAGTTTGAAATCATATAAACTGTAGAGTCATCTTCTTTAAATCTAAAGTAGTTTTTGTGAAAAACAAGGGCCTGATCCTGTCGAGATGCCTGAGTGAATTACTTGTTATGGTATTCTCTGCTGTTTCATTGCTTAGCAGAAAGCACTACTAATAATTTCCTTGTTTCAATGAAATATTGGTAACTAGTGAAAATTGTTTAAGGAGTTAAAAAAAAATGAGGCATTTGGGCTTGACAATGTGTATACCAAGTTTCAGACTTGTTCAATTTGAAACGGTCAAGATATGAAACCATAAAAAATGTGAGTAAATACTCTGCATATCAAGGGTTGTTATGCAATTACATGCTTTCAGCATGGTTCTTACTGAGGGAAAACAGTTAGTAGACAGATCTGCAATACATGTTCAGTGAATAATTACAAACTTTCATAGCTTAGCTACATAAAAATAATAATCCACTTGTTGCTTTGCTACTACTAAAATACTAAAATGTGTGCATACTTTTTTTCCCCAGAGCAAAGCCACTATGACTGTAGATTTGTTAGAAAGTTATCTGAAAAACTTGAAATCCCCTCTGCCCCCCACCCCCCCCAGTTTTGGCCAATCTCCCAATTATAAACAGCTGAACTGATTTAAATAAAGTTTTCAGTACTGGAAAAGAAAAGAAGAAAAAAAAAGTTACATCTGGGTTGACAAAAACATACGCCAAGTTTCAGCCCAATGTGATTTGAGACAACCGTGATATTAAATGCCCAGACCTAGGAACTGGAATGGAAATAGAGACACTGGCCCCTTCAGGATTTGGGATTGTAATGTAGTGGTTATAAGGCTCCAGATGATTAAAGCTTGACTTAGTAGATACACATTTTAGTTATTTAGATGCTTTTGGCTTATTCTTCCAAGGATGTATAGAAACTTTTCACAGATAACTCCAGTTAGTGCCAGTGGCATTGATCGCAGACTGAAACCTTTTTATCTGTGGCTCAAACCCTCCCATGACTAGTTATGTTGACTTACCTTCTCTGGGCTGATCTTAAGAGATTATTTTACTATGATAAGTATGTGTTCACATTTGAAAAAGAGCAAAAGGTTCCGTAACATATTTCTTGAAAACGCTGGCTAGGGTGGTGCTTAGCAGAGCACTTGAGCAGATGGCTGGGTTTTATGGAGGCTGTGGGCCATAGCAGTTGCGCAGACTTTGCTGAATTGGAGCTCAAGTGCCTGTTCCTTTGTGCGACTACCTGGAAAACCAGCAATATCGGCCATTATTATTGACTAGTACAAACGCTGAGTATGCAAGGCCAAACAGATGCATGCAGAAGAAATATCGTCACTAACAGTAGAATTATCATCACTAATTGAAATTTAGCAGAAAAAAAAAATTAGATAATTTCTGTTGTCCAGTAACTTTTATAAAACTTGGTATATGGGAAGTAAAGGCCTATGCTTTTATTCTTCTTGGTTTTTAAGAAACTGTATTGGTTTAAGAGAAGAGGACTAAAGGCATGTAGGCTTTTAAAAACAGCCTCCATTTTTTCTAGCAGACATCATCAAAATTTCTCAGGTGTATTTTGACAAGCACGTCTGTTCTGTGGTTAGTGGGATCTGGGAGTCAAGAATATTTAGTCCAATTTTGCTACAGTCCTGTTTCACCCCAGGAAATCCATTCTAAAGCTGTGTGTCCCCACTATAAAAAGCTGTTTCATACCCAAAAAGCTCAACAAAGTAACAGCATGTAAGTTTTTCCAGAGGTGGTTTAATTCTTAATTCATTAGTATATGTAATCTATGTTGGAACACTTAGGTAGGGGAATGATCATTGTTGACTATCCTGTAAGGTCCTTAAATAATACAGAAATAAGGGAAGGTAAAGAAAGATAAAATGCAATGCTTAGAACAGCACGTAAGATGAATTTACACACTTCGCGTTAAATTTAGGGAAGGATGTTTAGCTGGACTACTTTGAAATTTTAAACAGATAAATAGTTTGTAAGTACTAAATAAGCACAAATATAGGTTTTTGATACATATGGCTACTACTAGGTATTTTGTAGGTTGTTGTCAGCTGTAATCATTGTATTATTTCATTGCAACTGATGTCCAGTTTAAATCAGATCTTTCTTTAAAAAAGAGAGAAAAAATTAGTTACTTTTATCAATGTTTTAAAGATATACTAGTCCCATAGCATTCAATGAAGATTTCAGTGTTATTACACCTTATGTCACCATTCAGGTGTGTACAAATGCAGCGTATAAACGAGACTGCTCTCTCTATATTTTAAAAGTCTTCCATGACTTTGTAGAGGGTATTTCCTAAACTCAAGGAACACAAACAGAAATGAAAGGGTGGAAAGACTGACTCAGATTAAGACTCCACTTGGTTAATACACCACACCAAGAAGCCATAGGCCGGCAGACAAAAAGTAGGAATGGAAAGGAACAGTTCTGCAGTTGTATCTGAATCCTGGCTATATACAGTCGTTTCCACTTGGAAACTTCTTACCCTTCAAGTGGACCAAATTAGGGTTAGTTTAATGAAGCTTTATTGTACTCTTAAGGAAAATATTTCAGCAGCCAGGTGAAGTCGTGCAAGGATATGCAACCACAAAAAGAACTGGGAGCTTCAATTTACTTGTAGGCGAGCATGCCTTCACAGTGAGCTGTGTCTCATATACTCAACTAGTTAGATGTTTGCTGAAGGACATCAACTACCATTTAATTCTCCCCCAAGTCAAACTGAGAAAAACGTGGTATATTACTGCTTCTGATTTAAGAGACAAAGTAGGGGATGATGTAAGGGGGTGAGAGAGTGATTATCTTGACGACAATCTCGATTTTATTGTATCAACTTAAAGTAGCACAACCTGCTGGACTAATGAAATTGTGTTCTTGGTTTAAAAGGGCAATTGTTAGCCTGACTTTGTGCTCACTAAAAACATTTCCCCAATCTTGTTAAATTATTGCACTCATTTCAGATTTTTATGGCTGTGCAGCTTACCAGCCCTCGTTTCTTTACATTTCATTCATTTTCCTTGTATTGATGATTAATGGAGGATGTCGAACGTTAGAGTGAGCAGGCATCAGCAAATGCAAGATCATAATTAGTTTAGCTGACGAGGGCCTCTGATAGCACTTGCATCTGGATGGAAAAATTACCCTATAGGGAACTGGCTGCTCACCAGGTCTTTTTAGTGATACATTGTGAAACACCCGATGAATCAAATGCCCTTTCAATGCCAAGAAAGTGTTCCAGTCTTGAAGCCAAAATTATGTCTGCAGAAAGCTTTCCATTTGAAATGTATCAGAGTACAATTATAACCATTGTATTTTTTTGGCATGAACACCAGTCTTCTACAGTATGGACTAAAGTTAAATAAATTACTTAAATTTTATGAAACCCTGAAATTTTGACTTATAGTGTTAGTAATTTTTAATTTATAATAAAATTAGTTTTCACCCAGGCTGTTTTTCCCTGTACTCACCCATTCTTGTCTTAGATGCTGAAGGTTTCTTACAGATTTTTTTTCCTTTGCAAAAAGGGAATGGAGTTGAAATTCAGATTTTCTTTTCAGCAAAAGAATTCCATTTCCTGCTTATTAGTATTTGTGCCCACAAACACAGCCTGACTTTTGTTTAAATGAGAAGTTTAATGAAATCGTTACTCCGTAGAAAGAATTTAATGAGCAATACTCATAAACGTGTCTACTTTTAAATATTCCTGGGTCATTATGAAACCTGATGAATGCACAGCTCAGTCTGGTTAAAAATCAATTTGCATTTAGGAAAGTTGTACTGTGCCTTTCTTTGCCTGACTAAAATAAAATAAATAAATGTATCCATTGATGAGACAGTGTTTTCTGGGGTTTCGGGTGAAGTTCAAAAGAAGTCTTATTAAGAATACTGTACTTTTATTTGTTTGGCAGAAGTTATTCCTTGTTCTTAGTGGGCTGTGGGAAATATATGGTAGCTGATACTGATTTCAGAAGCAAGTGGGAAAGACTGGAACTGAATATCATGTATTCAATTAATGAAGTATAATTTCTGTTAAAGGAATTAGTATGACACAGATGCCAACTGTAATTAATAGAAGTGGTAGTGTTTCAGAATTCTTGTTACCGATCACACTTTAAAATCAAGCAAACTAAAAATAAATAATATCTGTTGTGATATGCAATGAACAAACCAGGAGAAGTTTACAGAATGTTCTCTGTCAGCTTCCAGAGGGGTTTTTCAGAATTTGGTGTTTAGAAACCATCATTAAATGCACAAAACCTGAAGTTCAAAAAGTTAAAGCTGTTATTCTGAAAAGGCTTTGGTGTTTCACACACCTCATCCATCACTCTAGGGTTAATTATAATGAAAATCAGTGGTGCCTATTAAGCACAATTGAACCTGACCTCATTATGGGCAGTGTGGTTTTATACTGTCATTGTTGCCAGTCTAGAGACAAAACTCCTGTGTTGATTTGTCCTAACTCCGCAGCTCATGTGACTCACCTCTGACCTGTTTTTTTTTCTGTGTGGTTTTTTTTTTTTTCTTTTTCTTCCCTATTTCAGAGACGTAGAGGCTCGGGTGTTTTTTGTGCCAATTGCCTGACCACAAAGACCTCTCTCTGGCGAAAGAATGCAAATGGTGGATATGTATGCAATGCGTGTGGCCTCTACCAGAAGCTTCACTCGGTAGGAAGAACTTACTGGTTTGTTCAGAAAAAAAGGGGTTATACAGCTAAGCTGGGCAGCTGTGGTCTTGTCTGGTTGTGTGATTAGTACCACTCACTGGCCTGCAGTTAATTTCCTAACAGGGTTTTGCAGTATGGTCACTTTGGGATCAGATGTGATTCATTATGAAACAGGCTGGGATGCTGTGGGTAGACGTGTTTGAGATCACCAGTGATGCATTTAATTATTTTGATACAAAATAAGGGGAAAATTATTTCTTTTCTGGGAATTCCATTTAAAGGAATACAATATGTTGTGATGAAAGCTCTCTAAATTCAAGAGCCCTCATGTTCATAATAATAAAAAAAAAAATTCTTAAAGTTAGACATCACATCTATATCAAAAATACCCCTTGCTGTGGTTTTTGTTTTCTTTCACTTCTCTTCCCACCTTCATTCTTGACAGTAAATTTCCTGGAGGTATGGGGTGGTGGGTTTTTTTGTTCTTTTTTTTACAGTTCTTATAGCCTGCTGGAGGATTCTGAAAAAAAACTCAACAAGGAAGCTGCTCACTTGATGGCACTCGTCACTTGGTGAGGGGAAGATTCACCATCCCTCAGGATCAGGCAGGGAATAAGTAATAATCATGGACTGTCTATATTGCTTTTCATCTTATTGGCACTTGGCTTGATCCTGAAAGATGTTGAATGCTCTGGTCCAGGTCCAGGAAAGCCATGCTTAAGTGTTTCCTTGGATCAGTGCCAAAATGCTCAGAATCTTTTAGGTTAAGACCCACTAGTTAAATATTCTCCTTGCTGTCTTTAATAGAAGCATATGGGAGAGTCAGGTGACCAAGATTTGATTCTAATTAATTAATTTTTACAACATGCCCATGAAGCTAAAAAGTGTTACTATTTTTCAGAAATAGAAACTGAGGCAGCCTTTGAGAATTTGCCAAGGCAACATAACAATTTAGGCTTAGAGCCCAAATCAGACATCTATGTTGTGACTGAGAGTGCGTATTTTTAAAAACTTTTTTCAGAAATTCCATTTTTTTAAAAAAAAAAAGCACCACTTAGGAAACTATATTTCAAATACATTAAGGCTCCTAAATGCCTGTGCCTATTTCTCTTTAAATTTGAGGCACAAGCTTCTAAATCAATTAGTAGTTTCTGTGAATTTTGTTCTTAGTCTTGTGTACAGGCCATATAACAATCGTGTTTACTCAAGATCCTGTCCAGCCCACTTCATAAAAAAGAAAGATTCCAATTTTTGAAAGCAGCAAGACCATCACCAGTCTGAAAGGTTAGCTCTGTTTGCCATGTGCTGTCATTCTGAGGTCAGTAACTACTTTTAAGCTTCAGAACAACCGAGGCCGCCAGAGAGCATCTGAGCGGGAGACAATGGACTAATGCACGATCTCTGACCAGCAGCTTGGCTGGGTCTTGCTGAAAGTATCATCTTCCTGGAGATCTCAGAAAGTTCTAGATATAATATCTAATTTAAGGAAATTGATCAGTGGTGAGAATCCACAAAGATTTTATGGAGGAAAGTTAGGCTTTTTACTGTTAATTTGACGTTTGAGTCCAGTTATTTGTAGAACTTCCATTTACAACCCCCATTTTCCCTTTTTTAAACATACTTTTCTAAACTATAGTGTTGGACTTTACCATTATTAGTATAACTTATTGAATAGATAAAAGCTACAAGAATCAGTTTTGAATTCAAACACATAGCACAGATAATTCTTATGAACCAGTAGGAACAAACTAGTGTGCTTTCAACAATAATAATTAACAATATAATGCCAAATTTTGTTTTATGCTTATAGAAAGCAAGAAGCTGACACTATCTTTTAGGTCCACTGTTCAAGCATGGCAATAAGCTGTCATTCAGTTGACGTTTGACATTAGTATCTTCAATTGAACTTTGACCAAACAAACGCAAAGAATTTAATTAAGCCTCCACTCTGCTGTGGTACGATAGCAACTCCATTGTACGTTGGAGTCTGAAATAAATCTCTCCTTTGGGACACCTTTTGAGACAGTCTCATGCAAGGGCTGCTCTTTAGACTGACACCAGAAAGATGAAAGTTTCTTTTATCTGTCTGCCTGTCTTCTCTTCATGAAAACTTACAGTAAGTAATTGTCATGTATGTTTTTGAATTAAGGAGTCTAGGATGATGCAGTTATTAGGTAAATAAAAATTCATAAAAATTCATAGGGAATAGAACTGTTCCCTTCTGTGAGCCACCCTGTTAAACTAAATTATACTACACAGCTGAATAAAATTCACCTATAGTAGGTGAATTTGCACATTTCATAACTCCCTTTTGATTGGATTATCCCTATCTAGAACTACTGTCCTCATTAACTCAAGGATGTGTATAATACACTTATCTCTAAGGTCCCTTTTTTACTTGTATTTAATAAGAAGAAAAATCTATGGTCTGTCAGGTACTACTAGGTGGTGGTGACCGACAAACGTTAACATGGTAGTGATTTCTGCTGTAAGTCACATTTCTGTTTCTGTGATACCCTTGAACAATTTTTCAACATGTTTTCAAAAATGTTCAGTCTATCTAGAGGTCATTTACATTAAACTTGCCAGGTTTTTCACATTTATCTCCTCTAATGCAGACAACTATGTTAAGAAATATGTAATAATATTCCAACGGTCAATTTTTAAAATAGTTTTAGTGAAAAAAATGCAGTTCACTGCAAACATATACGCAATATTCACATTTGCTGACAGAGAAAGGTATATCCCTTGTCTCCCCAGAATCATGAATATGACCATTATTATTGTGGTGCTGTTCCTCATTTTTTAATAGCTCTAACTTGGTCATGGAAAACTAGATTTTGTTCCATAGTGATTCCTTGGCCACACCCTCGGACTACTTCAGTGAGGAGTTACAGCAGATTATTCTAGGATTAGACATATGTGATCTAGTGGAGAGATCACTCCAATTTCCCATGGTATCTAGGAAGTCTAATTACAATAATTTAATGAACTATTTATTTGTTGAATTTTGTGCTTTTTTTAAAGTTACTCATATATTTGGGGTAGGGAGATTGCCAATTGATATAGAGATGGCAGAAAAATCTTTGTGATCATACTCAATATATTATGTATAACATATAATTAAGGATCTGACACAGGACTTTTTAAAAGTAAAGTTCTGGTAATGTTTCCACTATTTTCTAAATTTACTGCCCCCTGGAAATCAAGAAGAGAGCTTAAACTTTTCTGTTGAATAAGGAAAATGTGAGTAGCTTTACTCTACTGAGTAATCTGTTTCAATCAGCTAAAGACTAGTCAGATGAGTACAGTCATTTGCGTGCTGAAGAATTTTTAAGTTGGACCTACAGCCTTTAGCTCCTAATGGCATGTAACTTTGAAGAGCCAGAGCTGCAAACAAGTGTGTGAGGGTCCTTAATCACAGGTATGAAGATGTTTTGTTTAACTACTTCCACGATCAGACTTCATACCTGTAGCATGAAGAGTAAAACTAAAAGTGTTTCCAAACTATTGAAAGGAGCTTTTAATAAGAACCACATCAACAATATTGTAAGATCTCACACAGCATGTCAGTATGACAGTGTTACAATTGTCATAAAAAGGTGAGGAAATTGCACTGAGCTTGTAATAAAGAGTATATGCTTATGCATATTAATTGGCTATTGATTCTGCAAACTATAAGCTTTATTTGCATAGAATTTACATAGAAAATATTCTAATTTTATCTAACATGATTTTGCCTCAAATTTGATCTGTTTGAGGAGGCTGGTTCAAGTGTTGTTTTTCTGCTAAGTTTAAATTTTGCTTATTAAAAGTTAAAACAGAGTGTGTATTTATTCTGATTCAGAGTTTTAGTAGAAAGTAAAATCTTAACAAGTAGCTGCACTGCCTAAAATGTAGTTAACCATTAAGAATAAGCCGACCTCAGGGAAATAAATAGGTGAAAGAGGAGAGGAAGATGGTAAGTCAAGAGAGAAACTAGATCTCTACAAATAATAGAGTGAGTGCTCTTCCAGCTCTGAATATTTTTATATTAATTCAACATTATGAATATATATATAAATTATGTTACATTCAAGGTACAAATTGTTTTGGATATTGACTGTATGCCAAAATTTAATCTGTACTTCAAAACAATGTTAAAAAGAAAATTTCCAAATAAACATCTAAGTGGAATACTGTGTGGGGCACTTTTCTGGCCTCCAACCAAAATAGGATTATGTGTGCATTTGGATGAGACAAATGGCAACTGCCAGCATGCCAAACTGAATGACTTTTGGGTAGTTTTTGTTGTTTTAGCATCTGCCCAGTAGAGCAACACATACCGAGGTTACAGCACCATCTTTCATTCATATACCATTGCCTTCCTGTTGAGGAGCCTTTCAAAGAGGCCTGGCTGCTGTCCTTCCTTGTACTATATTTTTTTCTTCACACAAAAGTATTTTCCGTTCTCATCTAAATAGGCCACCTACCCTGAGCTGGTGTGGGGAAGTAACAAATGGAAACAGAAGTCCTCACCTGGTTCTTGCCTCTGCCTCTTCCACGAAGTTTTTTTCTTTACAGACCCTTTTTTCCCACCTTCAGGGGACTCCTTCTCTCCCTCATGACTTAGTAGCACAACATCAGTAACATTTAGAAAGAAATACAGTAGGGATGAAGGAGGGGGAGTTGGTACCAACATCTCAGGTAGACCTTTTGGTGCATAGGAAAAGTTTTCCTGGGCTTTCTTCTCCATTATTAGTCCCTTTCCAGCCACCATCATCCCACTCACCACCACAGTGGACCTGCAGCCCTTTTGCTAGGTGACAGCAGTGGTCAGCAAGCCCTGTATTTGCTTGCATTTTCTATCCCTGTCAAAGGGGCTGGGTATCAAGGTAAGTGTTGCTAAGTTCTTGTCCTAGTGTGATCTGTGCAAACCCCTGCCCGATACCAGCTCTGGTAACATGGTGCATAGAATAATGCTAGTGCATAGGGCTGTGCATCTCCCACCTCATCCCCAGCTCTCAGCACCCACCTTCAGCATGTCTGCCCCAGAATTTTTCAGGAGTAAGGGGTAATAAATGCTTTGACAGCTTGGATACTTCATGCCTTTTTAAGTAAACAGGTATAGTATGTCTAAGGCAGTTGACTTAGTCTGATAAAACAAACCAATTCATAGTTTACTTTTAGCGTGAGGGGCCAGGAACCAGCATTTGGGTTGAAATTTGGTCATTCCCATAAAACTCTTACAATGTAGCTCTTCATGACAGAAAAGAGAAATTTGCGTGAGCGTGATCTCGCAGATTTGTTTAATGTGTCTTTCTTTTTTCCTTCTGTTCATTATGTGTGTGTTCCATGCAGACTCCCAGGCCTTTAAACATCATTAAGCAGAACAATGGCGAGCAGATCATTAGGAGACGAACAAGAAAGCGCCTTAACCCAGAGGCACTTCAGGCTGAGCAGCTAAACAAACAGCAAAGGGGTAGCAGTGAGGAACAAGTCAATGGAAGCCCCTTAGAGAGGAGGTCAGAGGATCATTTACCTGAAGGTCATCAGAGAGAAATTCAGCTTCCCAGCCTCAGTAAATATGAGGCCCCAGGTTCATTGACTAAAAGCCATTCTGCTCAGCAGCCAATATTGGTCAGCCAAACTCTGGATATTCACAAAAGGATGCAACCTTTGCACATTCAGATAAAAAGTCCTCAGGAAAGTACTGGAGACCCAGGAAACAGTTCATCGATATCAGAAGGGAAAGGAAGCTCAGAGAGAGGCAGCCCGATAGAAAAATACATGAGACCTGCGAAACACCCAAACTATTCACCACCTGGAAGCCCTATTGAAAAATACCAGTACCCGCTTTTTGGACTTCCGTTTGTACACAATGACTTTCAGAGTGAAGCTGACTGGCTGAGATTCTGGAGTAAATATAAGCTGTCTGTTCCTGGGAATCCACACTACTTGAGTCATGTGCCTGGCCTACCAAATCCTTGCCAAAACTATGTGCCTTATCCCACCTTTAATCTGCCTCCTCATTTTTCAGCTGTCGGATCAGACAATGACATTCCTCTAGATTTGGCGATAAAGCATTCCAGACCTGGGCCAACTGCAAATGGTGCCTCCAAGGAAAAGAGTAAGGCACCACCAAATGTAAAAAATGAAGGTCCCTTGAATGTAGTAAAAACAGAGAAAGTTGATAGAAGTACTCAAGATGAACTTTCTACCAAGTGTGTGCACTGTGGCATTGTCTTTCTGGATGAAGTGATGTATGCTTTGCATATGAGTTGCCATGGTGACAGTGGACCTTTCCAGTGCAGCATATGCCAGCATCTTTGCACGGACAAGTATGACTTCACAACTCACATCCAGAGGGGCCTACACAGGAACAATGCACAAGCTGAAAAGAATGGAAAACCTAAAGAGTAAACCTTAGCACTTAGCACAATTAAACAGAAATAGGTTTCCTTGATGGGAATTCAATAGCTTGTAATGTCTTGTGAAGACCTATAAAGCACTTCATATAGAGAGCATGCCTTATCCAATATTAAATCCCTTGTTCTTTTCTTTTTTTTTTTCCTTTTTCTTCTTTATTTTTTTCCTTTTTTTTTCTTTTTTTTTTTTTTTCCTTTTAAATGAGTGGGTTACCAAGAAAAAAAGAACAGTTGGATGGTGGCCAGAAGGGGGAGAAGATAATTAAATGGGACACGGCCCACCAAAGCTAGCCAGAATGCAGTGAATCATGGCGAATAACCTTGAGAAAATTTTACCGGATAATTAATACCTTTGCTGTTGTGTAAGAGACATAACTGGCAAGAGTGCAAAGATGTGTATATGTATATACTGCTGCAGGGGTATAGTGGACATATGCACATTGTATATAAGAACTAGACTTGTTAAATATACAGATGTTAAAAGGTCATTTTCTTTTCTTTAATTTGGGCTAATTTCTGCCCTACAACATGCCTTAGGATCATTTTGTCCTCGAAGCTTTGGCAGCAATTTCATCTAGATGTTTCTCAGACTCAGCTGATTTTTAGCTACCATTTTATCACTACATTCTTTCTGGCACACTTTAGCCTAGGAAAACCATTTTGTGCAAGTGAAGTCTCTAATACAGAAGCCACACTCCGGGTTTAATTTGCATAGAACAAGGTAACCTGCTGTATTTTATTTTAATATATTTTTAATATATTACATTTCTAAACCTTAAAGTCTAAGGTTACTTCTCCACAGGCTTAACATTGCTATACATACCAGTCAATCCCTTCAGTAGACTTATACCAGCTTTTGCTAAGTAGCATTAAATGTCTTCATAGTACTTTTTAATACTTAAAGCTTTGTAAAAACTATCCATGAAGGGAAAGCTCCTCAGCATAACTGCTCAGGGAAATAGGGCTAAATAACTAAATATTAAATAATTGGTTAAAGGTGCTGTTAGACGAGCCTCCATGCTTGCTACAAGGGTGTACAAGAACTGACTTTAATCATTTTCATTATAGTGTCCCAACCAGTAGTTTATTATTTTGCCACAGGGATGTAGAAGATATTACAAGCTACTGGATGCACTGTCAGATTAACTTATTTCATTAAAGAAGTTGGGAGAACAAATAGAAAAAACCTTATTTTTCTAGTAAATATTAATGTATTACATTTCAAATAATGGTGCCTGACATATTGAATAATTATTTTCTACAGTGTACGTATGCAACAAAGATATTCCATCATGCATTAGAGTCAGTTCTGGCTCTGCCTCGCTGTTTACATTTGCAAATGTAGCAAACAAGGTAATGAAGCAACTATTTCTATTGCAGTAGGTATCTTTTTTTCTGTGTGTGTGCATTAAAGTTGTAAACGATAACATGAAATGAATGAAATTTGTTGATATTAATGGTATGGAAAAACAAGAAGGAAATGAAAATATTTTTATGCCTACTTAGGAAAAAAAGGGTAGCACTATTCATTCCAAGTACTTTTGTATTCTTAAGCTCTTAACTCACATTGTTATGCTTAAAATGATAAACATATATCCTCTTTTTATTGCTTTGTCTGTGTTTCAGAAGAAACATTTCAGAAATTATTTTGATAAGTGCTGTTTGACGATGCAGCACTGATGTTTTATTGCATTCTGTAGTAGCATTGCACTCCATTTTTACAATATTACGCAGTTGCTTTTTTGTTTTGTTTGGGTTTGTTTCTTTTTCGCAGTGCAGGGTCTTAGTTCCTTATGGTTGGATGGCAGGTGTAGCTCAACTGGTTCATGAATGTTGCAGCGAATGAAGTTTAAAATGTCTTTCTGATATTATGTTGTCTTTTATTTCTCCATTCATGCATTTTATTTTTTAAAATGTTCTATAAAAATATCTCTGGACTAAGTCCTCACTTGAGATTATATGTAAAGGGTCCTATTCTGATCTCACTTACATGCCGCCTTTCTCAGATTTTCATGTAATTGAAACTAAAGCATCATAAAAAAAAAAAGTTCTTGTATTTAACTTACCTGAATCTCACCACTCTCCCTTCTAGAATTTGGTGCACTTATAAGATACTTAACCAGATAGACAGGGAGGTGGACGATAAAAGGAGAGGTGATAGGAAATGTCTTCTAGGGGTTGGCAAAAGGAAAACCAGGGAGGAACTGGCCTAAACGTTCAGCACTTTGATAGTCTTTTGAAAAATAATGTGCCTAAAGCAGCCGGCAATGAACATCACCATGCATGAGAAGCACTTACACAGCTGATCACCAAAGGTCTTGCGGACCTTGGCAGTATTTTAGGTGGTACATTTTCACACAGATGAAATGTTATTGCACAGTTTCTCCAATTTGTTAGGCACAGACAGGCTATTGTTCAGCATTAGGCTTGCATTCCTTCCTGCTCCACCCATTGCTTCTATACTGGTGAGCAGCATATGGAAAGTCCCGCTCAATCTGTTCACGGTTGAGTTCTATAACCCTTCAATAGTGTTCTAGGTTAGCAAAGGATATTGGGCCACATTCTTCTTCTTCTATTTTTTAGATGAATCTCCTGCTTGATAACAGTGCCGGACAAAGTCTGGTTATGTTTTTACTATTGTTCTCCAATAATAAGTTCTGACTTGGTTTTTGTGGATTTATTTTTGTTGGGTATTTTTTTGTTTCTTTTTTTTCTGTGGGGACTGAAATAGATTGCCCTCGTTTTGTTACGTCAGGGTCCAGTGTATGTCCTTTTCAGCTTTTCCAAGAAACATGTTAGACTCACTAAGCAGTGATTTTTATCAGCTTCAGAGGCAGCTGCCTGCCGGTTGTCAGTAGTTACTGGTTTGACTTACTTCTCCTAAGACCTACCAGTTCCTGTGGCTTCTTCACTGATGGAAGCTGCATCTTCATGGCAAAATATTTTATGGGGGACATGCGCATTATAAGACTTGAGCACCACCCTGTACTTCATAACACCTCTTGCTAAACTCGGAAGCAGAGGCCAATAACAGGAAATACACATATATCAGGGTTTGGGGATGAGGAGAAATGAAATCTTATGAGTGCAAAGAACAAGACAGATTTTTGAATATTAATATCGCACACCTAGATGGTGCAAATAAAATTTGAAAAAAGTTCATTGTTCTTGCCATGACATATTGAGATGTTCTAAGGTTTCTGCTTTGTAAGAAATGGGATATTGCCATAGCCTGTTCTCTTTCCTCACAATGGATATGAATCAAAAGAAAAATAAATCCTGACATTGAAAAAGAATAATCTTATTTAAGAACTCTCAGGTAGAAACCAATGTTAGCACACACAAGTAATTACTGTACCCACTGCATTTCGATCAACTTACAGCACTAAAAATTAAACTTTCAAAGAATCATTCTTTGTTCTCAACTTGCCAGTGTCTTCAGGGTGCTGTACTTCTCTTACTAAGGAAGGGTAGTTTGAGATCTCAAAATGTATCTCAAATCAGACCACAAAATAAGTAGATGGTTCAAAACCAGATGATTTGTGGTGCCTGTCATTAATCAGATTGCAGAACAGGAACAATGTTTCCATTAACACTCTGTATAGCGGGAGCTGTCATGCAGCATCTTCTGCAAACTGGACTGTCTCTTAAGCTATCACTTCGTGGCTGCTGCCCTCTAGGTTAATGCAGCAGGAGACGAAGATTTTCCAGAGCACAGTTTACGTTCAGGTGCTAAACTCAGAGTGCTTTCCAAAAGTTTTGCACCTAATTGCCACTGTGCTGATGAAACTCCCCCCTTAATTTTTTGTGGACCATCCAGAAAGGGGGGGAGGAGACGGGGACGGGGACAGGACAGGGGGGTGACTGGATACTTGTATCTTGGTTTTGCCTAGAAAATGTACTGTTACACATTGTGACAGTTTTAAAGAGAGAGAACATAGAGACATTTCAAAAAGTTGAGGCGTGCTGTGGGCGAGAGATTATTTTTGCAGTTAGAGGGGCAGCAAGGCAAAAGTGACTGATACTAATTGTATACACAGCTGAAATGTAGTGGTTGTGCAATGGGGAGACCTGATTTGGCAACCGTGGATTAGTCCTCAGTTCAGGGACAGACTTTGAAGTTCGTCTTCGGACTGGACAGTGTTGCTTTGTAGTCATAACTACTTGCTTTATGTGCTAAGGATGTTGCCTACCATCAGCTTTTTGCCCAGGATGTCTAAATATATTCCCGTTCTTGCTCCTGTATTGATTTTTCTTGGCTGACTTAACATGCTAAGTCCTAATACTGGTCAGGAAAAGCCAAAGAGATTAGAAGTTCACTTCTGTTCAGCCAGAAGGGTAGATATATTTCCTTCTGCTTCTGTGGAGACAGTTATGCTTGGCAAAGAATAGCGAGCAATTTGTCAGCGTATCCCAAACGTGATAGATAAGTGAGAAATCCTTTCTAAACTTCTCTATAAAGTTAAGATGGGCCATGTAGAATGATTTACATAATTTCGTCACCCCAGAATAGGATTCCTCCCTACCCTCTTCCTCACAATGTCATGTCATTCAGCCAGCTCTGGCAAGCTGGCAGTTGGTGAGATGCTACCTATATAGTAATTGCATATACCCCAATTTACCTCTTTTTAAGAGGATAAAAGACAATGATTTAATGGCTGCCAGCCAGATAAATACCAGTTTCATTTGTTTTTTGAGTACACTTTGTGAAGTAAAATTCTTAGAATAAACATTGCAACAGCAACCACAGTTTTCCATTCCTATCAGTTTGGCCTCTGAGCTCTATGTAGAAGGAGAACAGGAGAAAAGGAAACATCTCAAAATGCCATTGTAAATTTAGCTTATAGAAAATTCACCAGCAGGAAAAGGAAAAAAAAAAAGTTAAAAAAAAAGTACTTCATAAAGAATGACTTCATGTTGCTAAAAACCATCATTAAACTTGTAGCCCTGATTTGACTCTAGAATGTTGGCTCTTAATGTTTTGTCCTTACAACACATGGATGTGTTTTTTTGTTTTGTTTTGTTTTGGGTTTTTTTGTTTTGTTTTGTTTTGTTTTTTGGTTTTCATAGTGCATGTTCATTTCTACTCACAAACATGTTCTTGGTGTATTTCTTATGCAAACAATCTTCAGGCAGCAAAGATGTCTGTTACATCTAAACTTGAATAATAAAGTTTTACCACCAGTTATAAATCAGATTCATGTCATTGTTTCTGGG